TAAAATATATTTACAGCATTTATTACATTTTACATCAATATTTTTTTCTATATTTTGTTTGGTATAATAAAAAGTTAAAATATAAAGTCTGTTATTTCACTGTGGACTGGTTCCTTGGGTTACATTGTAGGATGGCGCTGTGGCCCGTAATGGCAGCACTTCCGTCCCGGACTCACATGTGGCGCATTATACTGTTACGGCGGAAAGCCTCGTCTGGTCCTTCTTGACTGTATATATACTTGAATCCCTCCTTCTAACTACAACTACTAGGATCTATTGAATGTTTAAAATAAAAAAAAAACATATTGTAATTGTTTGTTAAATTATGTACATATACTTCATACTTCATCTACAATACTTAATATGCATATTTTCCTATACATATTTTACTCATACCTTGTACTCAACATACTCCTTACACTTTAGACATGGCCATTTTACAGGTTGGGAACAAATCCCCTTTAGCGAGATCATCTCGCTAAAGCGCGATTATCCCTCTGTAGCGGGAGAAAATACATCTCGGAAAACCGAGATTTGTACACTGATTCAAACTGTAATCGTGTTAACTTCTGAAAAAGGAAAATCCGGGAGTATGTTAACCCATTCGATAAATATTTATTGTCTCATCTCAATAAATTTGCTTCAAAATATTGCCTCCACTGCTGCAAATCATGGAAATTAGAATAAGTTTATGAACAATAGCGTAGCCTTCCTACGGAGGACCACATGTGATAATTATCAGTACAACTAAACTTACTTCGGGTATACGGTTATTGTAATTGCATGTTTACCTTTTTTTTTAATACGCCTGCTTGAAAAAAGGGAGAATATACAGCAGGACATAGTGATGGGGTGTCCGTCACTTTGGACTTTCCAAAGGGCATGACGATCTCGAGACGAACTCTGTTTGGTGACCTATAAATTCTCAAATCGCCTGATTGACTGATATACAGTCCCACCTTCTTACTGTAAGAAGCGCACTCATTGGTTCTTTGCTACACTCGTCAGAGTTTCCAGGATCTTCTAACAGATACATGTATATTATTTTTTTCTGTATATTTTACCCGTGAAATAATACGTTCAGTGTCAGTTTTAAATTCTAGTCCTACGTAAATTACCGGTAATCAACCCTAAAAATTATTTTATCCTATACTATTGCACTTTCATATTGGAAACGTGATATTTTAGACGGCTAGAGATGGTACATTAGATGGACGGATAGGTGGGGGAGGGGTACTAGAAACAAATACAGTAGGTAGGTTGTGCATGGTAAAAGCTATCGACATAACCATTTTTAAATCTTTACCATTTTAATTGGAAGTCTTATCGGTGATCAATTAAGACTCAATCTTCTAATAAGGAAGCTATTAAAGGTGACAATAGCCTCTCTTATTAACTAAATAAAACAATTACAAGGTGTAATAAAATGTAAAATTCGAAGTATTCCATGCAATGTTCGTAGATATTCTTTCAAAATAAAGAATGTCTTTACCAGTATTCACCTGCCGCCAAAATACGGCTGAAATTTTGCCGACTCGGCATTTAACAATATTTAACAATCAACACATTTAGCTTTTTTTTTTTTATTATTTATTTGATTTTTGGGGGCAGATTTTTCAGAAGCCCCCCCCCTTTTTTTAAATATAAAAATGCCACCTGGTCTGTGTGCTTTCATGTAGCCTATGTTTTGGAAAGTACTAGTATCTGATTTCCTTTTAAAATTTACACATTTTAACTTATGCAGGATCCCAACATATGTTTCCAACGAAATTGAAGTGTCCTCAAACGAAGAACTGTTCATTGACACCGGGTAAAACATTAAGAATTTATGTCATTAAAATACGAATACCTAGGGAATATTATACTTCTTTAATTATAACTAACAACACGTAAGTAGCAGCAATTTCAACAATGCAATTTCGCATTTTCGTTTAGTTATTAAATTTAATTCAAGGTAACATGTTTACACTTTCAACAGGCACGTTTCTGTGTTAATGAAAAGAAGGGTAAGTGGTAACTGAAAAAAAAGTTCGAAGGTAACCCCCCCCCCCCCTACCCGCATGAAATAGGATTTTCAGGTTTGGACAATGGTCAAATTCTCCTCTTTTTGTCAAGTTTTTTTCAGTTTGATTTTTTTTTCTCTTTGAATTAGCCATCCCCCCTTTTCCAATTTGCTTCCAACGCCGCTGAATCATGCTTTTCTGAATTAACAAGTTTACCATGCATCAACATTTGTACTAAGTCAATATCGGTTAGACTCAATATACGGTAAAGCTTTTTTTTTATTAATTTGCTTTCAATATTAATGGTTTACCCATATTCTATACACATCTCAGTTTATACTTGCTTTTTAATCATGACTTTTCCACAAACGTTACAACCCTGTTGCGCTTCCGTACTTCTTCGCATCAACCAAAGATCAAATATTTAAGCAAATATCATGGGTTTCTAAAGAATATTATTTTTAACTTTTGTACAAGAATGGAAAGCTAAGACCCTAACGAATATAATTTGGATATCTATACATATTTTATATGCTTCAAAAACATTTATGACTGTAAATCTTGAAACCTTCGCTAAAAAGGCACGATTTACACGTGGATTTTAGCATCTTATTCTCACACGCAGCAGTGATTGTCTTAAATTTCTGGCCAACATTGTCGGTTTTTTGTAGTAAATTCACGCTTCAATGCAACTTTCTCCCGGATTTTCAATACGCACGAGATTTTTGATTATTTTATAACGAAAACAACAAAATTCCCTTTTATGGTAATCTTTTTTCTTCCGCTAAAGAGGGATAATCACGCTTTAGCGAGATGATCTCGCTAAAGGGGATGTGTTCCCAACATTGCAAGTATTCAACTTACTACTGTACAAACACGTATTACATGTACAATGCTACTGACGCATTGTTACTACTTTGAACAAACTTCGAGTACAGTATTACTACTTACTTACTACAATGCTTACGACGCATCATTACAATACTAAGTATAAGTACATTATATACACAATTCAACAATATGTTTACTTCAAATAACTTTACTAAAAATGTACTGCGGCGAAGTAACTCAGCAGAATTTGCACATATACTGTTACTTAAAATAAACAATAAACCAAAATACTCTTACCTCAGAAGTGAGTAGGATTTCTGGTATGAAATGAAGTTAATACAAATCAAAGACGTGATGTGATAATAACTGGCAAAGGAACAACGTGTCCTTCTCTGGTGCCTGCTACGCCCAAACTGACGAGCATGAGCTATTTAAAGACCTAACCCGTCCAGTGAGTTTAAACCTTCTATATATAGGAATATGGACAAACGTTTGGGACTTAAAATACTAATTACATGGGTAAAATTCTATGATACACAGTTTGGACATCAAATGTGACAGGTAGATCGACGTTTTATTGTTTCATTCATACATGGATTCGAAACATTTCACTGATGTCGAACTAGAAGACTCAATAGAGTTTAACACAACTATATCATATTTTGATATTATGTTAGAAAATGGCACTGAGGCCAAGGTAACAACTCAACTTTATAATAAACTTTATTTGTTAAAAGAAAAGAAGTTTATCTGTCTCATCTCATCGATTTTGCGTCAATTATTTAATTATCCGCAATATATACATTGAGGCTAATCTCATTGTAAACAAAGAAAGTAAAACTAGAAAGACGTTAGATAGGCTGAAACAAATAAACTTTTCATGTTCAAAAGAAGAAAAAAACATTATAGTTGTGAAATGACGACACATTTACAGGATATGAGTACTTGAATCACCGACACTGTAACAGTTTGTGATTAAAAAAATAAATACAACAAAAAAGAATACAGTGGAGAGAGGACGGGGGCGTTGCACAATATGATTTTTATATAATATGGTAGAACGATCTACATATATGTGTTATATTCATAGGCGTCGGACCCCCCCGGGGGGGGGGAGGGGGAGGGGCTTAGCCCTCCTCTTTTTTTTTTTTTTTTTTTTCAAAGATAGACATAATATAAGCATTGAAAATTTGGGCATAGCTTTTTTCGTTGGTTTAGCCCCACCCCCTTACTTAGGCACCCGACTTTTAATTTGCTTCCGACGCCTATATTATTCTAAGGTGTGTGTGTGATGATATATAGGGTAAGAGTTTGATAATTTCAATGACAAGCAAGTAAATTTGACGCAAAGCATCGAATTGGCCGCAAACAAAATTAAGTTTCAGTCTTCACGAGTAAGGGTCCACATGTATCACAACATATTTCAGACTGTCGTTAGAGAAAATTAAACTTTTATCTTTAAAAATAAATCTAAAATGTTGAAAAACCCAAACTTTAAAAATAGATTAACCAGCTTTAAACTTTGAATTTCCACAAAAAAGAAAAACGCTTACGTACATCAATGTTTTGCTCTATTAAATTTTTCAGACCGCAAAAAGGATAAACTTTACATGTACTCATACCCTGGATCTTCATCCTTTGTTTTTGATGATGCCCATGAATAAAAATTCATCATTCGCATGTGTAGCATATTCAGGACAATTTTTATTAGTTTTACCACTTTTCATTTTTTTTGTTCGTCACTTTTGCAACTGTATTATTAGTATAACGATTTCCTTTCATATGTAACATCTTGTCTCTAAGTCATATTAATTATCTTAAACAATGAAAGTAAAAGTCTTAAATATAACAGCATTTAACTTTTAAGACAAGTTTAAAGCAAAATTTTTAAATATTTTACTCATAAATTTTATAAATATTATATTTTAGTTACTTAATATTTATTGAACTTATAAAACAAAAAAAGTCTAATTTTCCTCATGTGGACTTTCCAACACAACCACAAATAGATCTTTCGTTCCTTCAATCAACTGTGTTTCCATGAAAATGCATCATTGTTAAGAAAGATTTTTGTTTAAGGTTTTTTGTTAAGACAGGAAACATTCTAGCCACAAAATTACCGGTGCAACATCAGGCTGTATATATACATCTTTCCTCCTTCGGCCGATAATAAATCAACTTTGTTTCCACGAAAATGCATCATTGTTACAAGAAAGATTTTTGTTTAAGGTTTTTTGTACGTAAATTTGTTAAGACAGGAAACATTCCCGCCACAAAATTACCGGTGCAACATCAGGCTGTATATATACATCTTTCCACTTCGTCCAACATCATTCCAGAAAAAAATTAGGAAAAACAATCTGAAAATATAGCGATGGAACTGAATTCAGCTTTGATGGACAAGAATCTGACAACTACACCGCGACCTGAATGGCCATCCGCCGCTCCAGCAACACTGTTACTAGTTTTTGGAGTTACGGGAAATGTATTGGCATTGACTATTCTCTGTTGTTCTTCAAAAAATCACAAATGGCAACCCTTCTACCGCTTCGTTTTTGGACTTGCCATCACAGATGGGGGTGGCGTATTGCTTTCCTGCCCTATAGCATTGGTTCGTTACGGCAGCAAATTTAAATTTGACTATCCGCAGCCGTTGTGTGACTATAAGGCATTTATTCTCATGTTTACTATTTTGGGTTCAGCACTATTTATTTGTGCAATGTCTTTCGACCGTTTCATAGCAATTCTGTATCCCCACTTTTATAACTCCCTAACAAAAACCATGAGAACTGTTTTAACGATAGTCGGAATTTGGATTTTCACTGCATTTTCATCAAGCCTCCATCTGATGGTTGGTCTTAAAAGTCAGAGTTTTTTCCCGGGTTCTTGGTGTTTTCTGGACTTTGTAGCAGATGCCAAATTAAACAGGATCCTCGCCTTGTTTTACTCGTTGACGGGCATTCTGATTCTTGCCACCACAATTGTCCTCAACACAACAGTAATTATAAAAGTCTGCTATGACAGTCGTCAGAAGAAGAATATGTGCATAACAAAGAAGAAAAACACATATATTTTGGTCTTCTTGTTCTTAGTCGTGATCCTCTTCACATCCTGTATAACACCACTCTTAGTAAGTATCGGGGTAAGGGGATATTGTGATAAGAATTCGACACTTTATAAATATAAGTAATTAATGGCGAGGGTGGACTTACATGCTAGAATTAAAACCGTATACAAATGAATTCCTCATGTAAATATATTTGTATGATGATGAAGAGTGAAAAATTTCCCTGTTTCGTATGCTTATTTTCTTTTTGTACTTCTTTACAGATTAACATTTTCGGACATGCAATTGGAACAATTTCCGGAAATGGGCGGTTTGAACTGAACGCTTTACGCATTGCTGTCTTGAACTCCATCATTGATCCATGGATTTATATTGTATTCCGAAAAGATACATTCGCGTTTTTTAGGCGACTGGCCTTAAAATTGGGACTTGTTTCTGAATCAAGCTCAACCAGTGACTCTCCGTCCTCCAACAAAGTGAACCATAGCAGCGATCCATTTGTTTCAATGTCGTCAAAGGACGTGGACGGTTCTTGATGACTAAAAACTCTTTTTACATCATAACTGTTTTATTTCATCATTATAACAATATTATTTATTTCTGTAAACAATAGGTATTGCAGTAAGAGTTACTAGTACACTTTATTTAGATTTAAATCCAGTGAATCTATCATGCAGCATCAAAATAATTGCAAATAATAACACAATTTATTTTGTCATAAATGTAGACATGCTACTTATTTATGTCAACATGCAAGATAATTATGTCAAATTGCGACTTATTTATGTGAACATAACTGTAAATATATATACATATATATATATATGTGTGTGTGTGTGTGTGTGTGTGTACCTCTTGTACTTAGTGATCTGGTTTTGAGTGAATAAAGAATTGAATTGAATCTGCAAGATATTTATGTCTACATGCGGGTTAATTATGTAAGCATGCAACTTATTTATGTTACCATGCAATATAAATTATGCCAACATGCTACTTAATTATGTCAAAATGTGAGTATTTTCAAACAAGATATTTATGAAAACATGCAAGATAATAAGTTGCATATAAACATACATATTTTACATGTGCACATAATTATATTGCATTTGACCCAAATCGCATGTTAAGATAATTATCTTGCATGTTCACATAAGTGAGTTGCAGGTCTACATGATTATCTTGCATGTTGACATAAATAAGTATCATGTCTACATTATATAAATGGCGCCTGTTTTTGACAATGGTTTTCCGAGGGGTGTCAATTTCAACTGTTACCCTCCAAATTAGGCACCATTTATATTATTATACTGAGTGTCTTCTTGATTTACTATGTCAGCAATTCAAATCGTCGATCGCCTTTTCGTTCACGTTTAGAAAGCTTTCAAACTCCCCGCTACTTCGAAAAAGATTTACTGACCTCTTTATTGTTTATTTGATACTCTACGAGTCCTTTATCATCTAAAGTTTCGTTATTTCTGCACTCGCAAGCATGTTTCGTCTGTCGTTTGTTGTTTTCAAGTAAGCTACATCGGACGCAAGCTTTTATTGACGTCAAGTTTATTCCGGTTCTTTCAAACGCGCAACTGACGTTTTGAGAATTCTACGGTGAACCGTACGCGCATAATTTCCACGCATGTGGCATTACCGTTGTGTTACCCGTTGTCACGTGTGTTGCTAAGGCTGAGGGTAAAAGAACAGATTGTTACCTGCGTCTAAACCAATCAGATTTTAGTATTTAACATGAAAGTATAATAAAATTATTTGTATTTTGCATCCATGATGTCAGATACGAGCGTTAGTTAGAAAATTTACGCATATTTTTAATGTCTTTGTTTATATACTTCGTTTGACGGATTTCTCCGTCGACTGGGTCAATGCATAGAGCTCATGATGGGTGTGACGGGTCCACAGGGGATGCTTACTCCTTCTAAGCACCTGATCCCACCTCTAGAATTTCCAGGGTCTGTGTTTTGACCTGTTTACAGATTTATATTGTTTGTAGTTTTTTTTAGATGGATCACTTTCATTGTCTTCACCTTTTATCAATTGAGTGGATAATGTGTATTTATTAGAAATTTTAGAATGAATTTAGAATACTTCTACAATTATTCATTAATCAATTTTATATTTTGATATATAACATCACATTACAAAAGGCTCTTCGATAAATACTGTATACAGGGAAAATTTCGCCCCGTTTTATTTTCGCCCATTTCGCCCTGTTCGGAAGTGGTCGATTTAAAAACGGAGCGAATTCAAAGTAAATAGTATATCTTTAACAAAAATCTTTCTGGGCGTATTCAAAACGGCGCAAACTTGTTTCAAAATGTTAAAGGGCAAAAAAAAAAAAAAAAAAAAAAAAAAAAAAAAAAAAAAAAAAACACGGGGCGAAAATAACCCTATATACAGTAATTACTACAATTTCTAGTTTTCTGAAATACAAACTATAGAAGAGAGTTGACAATGTCATATTAGAACCATTCCCACATTAGTTTGGACTTTCAGTAAGGCGTGGCATTCTCGATGTTACATAATTAGCTTCTAAAATTTACACACCTTCCCTCCACTGTTGAAATATACATTGGACAGAAATTCGGGCAAATGCAAATTAGTGTATCGAATAACCAATAACGTTGTCTCGTCTTGCAAAGAGGTGGAGCTTAAGTCGTCTCATCGTTGTCAACAACAATTCAAAGTTCCAGATGTTATTAATTTCTTAACCAATGGGAATCTATTTTCCATTTGACAGACCCAAATTACGTAGCACCGAAAATGCCACGCCTTACTGAAAGTTCAATCTAACCTGAGAATGGTTCTATTTCATAAACTCTTTGGAGTCAAACCTATAACACAAAACTATATTATAATTGAATACAAGAAAAATAAAAGTTTTATAAAAAACATGAAAAAAATGAAACATGCATATCCCAAATATTTATATATTTTGATATGAGTAAAAATTTGGTTTTAGGTCCTTTAAAAATTCAATTCTTAAGAAGAAATGTCACTTTTTTTTTTCGAATGTACGCGATACAAATTTATGAGTATATATCTGAAAATTGAAATCGTTTCGATAATTTATCAGATTAAACTTGCTGAACGATTTCAATTTCATGCAAATGAAAGCTACATGCCTTTTACCATTTTATTTGAATGTACTAGTATTTCCATTTACAGTGGGTTTAATCCTCAAGCAGATTTCATTTATGGCTACCACTGTCGAACTCGCCAAAATTCTTTAAATTTTTTCCCCTTATTGATCACGAAAGCCGAGTTTTTAAACTGTGCAGTTTTTAGAATCACGGCAATAGCTTTAATAACAAATTTAAGGAAGAAATCACTTACATATGTATGCAAATTTACTTTACTGGAAGAGTAAAATAATTATTACTAACATCGCATAGCATGAAATAATTTACATCAGTATGAAATTCATTTGGTTGAAAATATCTGAAGCAAACGAAACATTGACGCAAAATTTTACTTACAAACTGCAGTACTTCTGACAAAAAAAAAACTTATATGGCTTGATAACTTTAAAAAAATACACCAATATCGAAATGGACGAAAATCAATTATCCATTATTGAGAAATTTTGATTTCGGGGTTTAAATCTCAGTCTACAGTGTGAATATTAAAGACAAAACATGTTCTTAAAATATTTGAGTACACGTCTGATTCATTTTGATTGCGAGCTCCTCTGAGGAAGACCGTAGCAGGATCTCATCATCAAATCAAAGTAACAATCATCATCTATCGTTGCACTAACACCTGCGTAGTAATTCATAAATTCGTCACGTGTTACTTTTCCATCCGGGCTTCCGGGTGTGTCGATGCTGTCTAGGAAACTTCGTAGCACCTCGTCCTCCGTCCATTCACCGGATAGATACTTCGGATGGTTTCTGGCGTTGGCGGCATAGACAACTGAAAAATACACAGAGTTGAAAGAAAATATGCAATTTAGTCGCAGTATAAAGATTATTTCTTCTTGTCCTTATAAATCCATCAGAAAGTGGTATCTGCATTTAAGGATTAAACACTAAAGTTTGAAGACTTGTGGTAAAAATACTTATAAGCAGAACTCATCCTTAATTAAGATACAGTACATTTTATTAACATTTTGATATACCGTATTCCTTCTGTTAATTGTTTCGTGGCATCCATGGCTGGATGGCAATGCATGTGATTTTATTGTCAATAAATGAAAATGATGAAAAATCAGTTGAAGAATTTGGATATTGTTTTTTTTCCTAAATATATCAAATCAAACCAAGTTTTAGTGCATCGAGTCATTAGCCGGTACAAATATAAGACAATGGACTGTTTAGGAGAACACGAAATGATAAACATACGATCGGAGTACAATACAAATATCTCTCTTTGTAAGCGGCTCTTATAGAAGCTGTTATAGAGATTCTCTCTTTGTACTTTCGGTTTTGATTAAATATACATACATTGTTCTTAGTTCAATCACGATCTGGATATGTATATTCCTATAATTTCCACGAGACTAGTTGCTTACTACCTAAATATAATTGATCCTCATGCCAGTTTTCACCAGCGTCTGTATTTCCGTTTCTTTTTTCTATACATTTGTTTAAGAATTAAACAAGATCATGACCATTAATTTCATTGATTAGAAGTTTGAGAATTTAAGCAAACTTTCGTGGTCCTTTGTTTTGTGCACCATTCGATTTTTACGTTTGCTCATTTATACAACCATTAATGATAGCAAGTTGTTTGCCGAATGCTTGTTATAACATATACATTCTTCTTAACTTTCACACATGCTGAAATGATCAGATTCATTAAACAGGAAAACCTGTCTAAATGTGCTAGAATCAATTACTTCACAGAACTACAGATTTATTTAGAACACACTATTGTTCGCACAGAGATGATGTAAATAGCATTGAGAACACAGCTTAGAAGTAAATCAAATTGGATTGTTGTTTAGATGTTTGAAAGCTGAATTTTAAAGCACAGAAAAACATTTTATAAAAATAAATGTCTTTGGTTATTAAATAATTTTCAATTTAACGACCAAAATTTTGCTCTTGAGATGAAGTGTACCTTTTAGGTCATCTAAATTTAAATGCCCGTCTCCATTCGCGTCCAGTTTGTCAAAAGATTCCATGATAACATCCTGGCGTTCTCGTGACATTTTTGGTCTCAATCGAAACAAAAATTCAGAGAAATCTATCGTTTTGTTTTCATCCATGTCGAAAGAGACGAACAAGACATTGACGTCACTGTCGTTGAGCTGTAAGCCGTACAAATCGGTGCCATTCTTAAGTTCTTCTTTACTCAGCCTCTTGGAATAATCTATGTCCATTTTCCTGAAGACTACGGCTAGGTCTTTGATCCCCCCGCATCCTCGGGATAAGCACTTGTTGCGCATGCGGTCAAACAATTCACTAGCTCGGTCCGACATCTCTCTTTTCCAACAACCGTACATAATTGCATCTGTGTTTTATACACTGGTAAATCAACTCAGGGGTTCAAAGGTTACAAATGCTTCTTTTCTTATCCAATCCTCTTCTTAGAAACAACTTAAAAAATTTAATGTTCGTTCACAATGAATCAGCAAAGCTTGAGATGAGGGAAAACAAAGAATCATAATCTATTGTGACGTCCAATCAACTTTTTGATACAGAAGGTTTCAAAGCCTGTTCTGAAGCAATCCCAAAATCGCGACTTCTTATAACCGTTCATTTCTCAGCATTTGTATGTGGCATTAGTTGTGTGTCTTGTTTCCATGACAAGTTAAGGAGGCAATCCGCCCCATTACCCGTAACGATTTCCAATACTGAGCCTCCGGTCCTATCAACTGTTCGTGAAAGTCGTGGAATCTAATTACGAGTGCTATAAGTTTTAAATTTTTTAATATTGCGAAACCTTTATCGACAATATTGATTAATCCAAACATGTTTTGCTATTTTTTGCAATCATCAATCATTCATATGATGTAACTCTATATAGATATGAAAAATTACATTTTATGCAGGAAAGGTATTCGGGTTTCCACAACAGACGAATTAATATCCAAATTGTACAATTATGTCATTTCTACTTTATACTTTTATATATAGAGTAAAAATTTCAAAACTAAATTTTGGTGAAAAATCACTAAAAAAATGTATTTTCTTCCTTTCATTATGTTACTTAAAATTTCTCAATACAGTATGTATTTCACTGTGTAATTTTACGCCTGCAGAGAAGATGGTGGGTAGGGAAGGGGATACAGATGTAGGGGTAAGTTATACGGTAAATCCATTCAATTGAAATAGCAAGCATGGCCTTTTTTTTAAATTAGAAACATACCGGTATTTCTTTTCAATTTTCTATATTTGTTGAAAAAAATAGGAATACTTAACAAATATCTAAGTTAAACAGGGAGGGAGGTTAAAACAGTGTAAAACTTGGGTAGAAGTTAAAATTATACTATACAACATGTGCAATGTATACTTGTCTTGATGAGTAACATTCATCGTTAATTATACAGGGTTTTGTTTGCTAATTCATTCTTTGATTGTGTAGGCTCACTTTCAGAATCAAAACGTCAATATTTCACGGATTTGAAAGACATCTTCCGGTTTAATGCTCTTGTTGTCATATTTTATTAATATATATCGCATATTAACGGCCGTGAGGCTTTTCTCAATGCCAGTGATAAGCCTCGTAAAAGAAATTCAGAAAGCCTCAGGAGAGATTCGGTACCCTAAATTAAATGAAATTCTGCAACTGGAATACAAGGTTGTAAGACATTAATGAACAAAAAATATGGATGCATCACATGCTATTGTATGTCTTATGGACCGTAGAATTGGCAAAATCTTTCAAGTTATTTCATTTTTATTATGCGCCCTGATTAAAAGATCCGAGGCGTATATTTTTCTTGTCCTGTCTGTCTGTTTATCTGTTTATCTGTTTGTCTGCAAACTTTAACCTTCGCCATAACTTTTGAGCCATGAATGTTTGAGACTTCATATTTGGTATGCATACTCCACTAATTAAGCTCTTTCAAATGACACCAAGGTCAATGACCTTGTGACCTTGACTGTGACCTATATGCTAAAAATAGTTTTTTCTGCAAACTTTAACATTAATGAACAAAAGATATGGAGGCATCACATGCTATTGTATGTCTTATGGACCATAGAATTGGCAAAATCTTTCAAGTTATTTCATTTTTATTATGCGCCCTGATTGAAAGATCCGAGGCGTATATTGTTCTTGTCCTGTCTGTCTGTCTGTTTGTCAATATATATACCAATATATATTCTCTTTTGTCATACGGGGTCATCAGGTTCACTTCCTTATAACTTTTGATTGAGAAGAGAAAGGGCTTTCATATCTGACATGTGCATTACCTTTGACAAGATTTGACACAATATGTCATAAAAAATGACTTCCCACCCACAAAGACGCCGAACGGACTTTGATTCTTTGAATTTGCTTGTTCTTCACATATCAACTTCAGTGATAATTTTTAAATAAATGACATATGATAGTTTGTTCATTGAAGACACAATATGTCAAAAAATGACATCTCACCCACAAAGACACCGAAAGGGGTGGGGACCACAATTCTTTGAATTTGCTTTTTATTCTTAAAAACAAATTTTTCTTTTGACTTCTTAAGTAAAACATAAACACCAATTATGTCCTCTCCCTACCCTTTGGTTTATGATTTGAACTAATTTGAAACAACAAGTTTTTCACCAGAAGATTTTAATATACTTTTTTTATATACATTTCTATGTCAAACATCGGTCGACCAATATGGCCCCTCCCTCTCCAAGGAGGTCATGATTTAAACAAATCTGAATCTAAACCTAAGGCTGCTTCATATTAATATCACCAATCAATGGCTTTTCTGTTTCTGAGAAGAGTGTTTTGAAGATTTTATTCGCCCTATGTATTCATATGAAAAAACTTTGATTGTCCAATATGGCTACACACTATCCGCTCTGGTCATGATGTGAACAATTTAGAATTTACACGAATTTAGGATGCCTCTATATAAACATGACCAATTAAGGCTTGCTGTTCTTGAAAGGTTTTTCAAAGTTTTTTTTCTTATATAATCCTGTGTAATTATTATAGGCAATTGTGGCTCCATCCTACCCTCTGGGGTCATGATTTGAATCTACAATACCCGAGGAAGCTTTCATACTTTTTTAAAAAGATGCCATTATTTTTTCACTAATTTGAAATTATCTCCCCTTTGAAGAAGGTGTGGCCCTTCATTTGAACAAACTGAAATCACCTCTACCAAAAAATTGGTTTAGATTGGCCCAGTGGTTCTAAGAATTTGAAAATTGTGGAAAGTGTACAGACGGGTGCCGGACAGATGTGGTCAGAAGAGCTGATTTGGGTGCGTATCATTACCGCTACATTTTCAAAATTTTCATTACCGCTACATAGTCATTACCGCTACAAAAACCCTTACATTACCGCTACATAAAAAAGTATACATTACCGCTACATTGTCTCTTTCGTTAGCCAGCCACTTATGCGTGTACAGTACAACCTATACATGCATAAGACTCGTTTCCCCTGCTCACTACGGGTAGGTGAAAGTAGAACTTTGGATAGGATGGGTTTATTATTTTTTTAATTAAAATCAATTTTATTTCATAAAAAACAAAAATTTAAAATCAAGCACGGTTCATAGATAAAATTCTGGGAGAATCCTGTTTCTTACAGCACGCATTTTCATGTAACTTTTTTCCAGGAAGGCTGAATATAGGCCAGAAAATCAGAAATGCTCGGTTGTGAACTATATTTAACATTAATTGTGCCGAACTCTTTGTGAAAACTTTTACACTCAACGTCTGCGTCTGCCCAAATTGTTGGTGGAAATGACGATGACCTTTCAATGTGCCTCGGAAACACATCAAACACAAAGCACTCTTCAA